CATATATATATATGGTAAATAAAACTGCTGATTAAACATTCACAACGATATACGTATATATATATGGTAAATATAAACTTGCGATTAAATATTCACATCGATATGCATATATATATGGTAAATTTTGTTAAACAAGACCGATGTCTGTAGGTTTACTTTCTTCTTAGAATTCTTCTCAACAAGTCGATAAGCCGTCTTAACGTTGTTAGAACAACGGGTAAAAGTTGTAGTTAAGACGGCTTATCGACTTGTTGAGAAGAATTCTAAGAAGAAAGTAAACCTACAGACATCGGTCTTGTTTAACAAAATCTGCCTACAAGAAAATCTGTCACCAAAGTATACCAATATATATATATATAATAAGAGCTGAGAAAATGTTGGCAGAGATTCTGCTAGATGAAAATGGAGAAAGAAAAGCAAGAGGCAGGCCCAAACACACTGGGTTCGAGAACATTAGAAAATGAGAAGTTAGGAAAGTTAGTTCAGGCAGAGGGAACAATGAACACCATAATTGTTGACCCTCAGTACTAGTGAGAATGAAGGCCGACAGATGGTAGGTTTCGCAGATTAGTTGGTGATCCTTTAGAAAATCTATCACGAAATAATTCTGAGTTATCCGGCCTAGGCTGAGTTTTAAATAGACTGAACACAATTCAAAACACACAGTGAAACAATCGGTATTTACAAAAGCAATCAAATTCAAGAAGAGTGTGTTTTACAAAGGGGAGAGTTGTCAGTGGAATAGGAGTATATCTGTTTTAAGAATATGTTTCAGACTGAGAAAACACTCATTATATACATGAGAAGTAATGTCATTCTTATCATGGAACTTACATTAACCACGTGACTGTTTTAGTCATTTTCATCAAGAAATAAGGAAAGTTGTGACTTTAAGGTATCGCATGATTTAACCTGCCAGTGGAAAAGATCACTGCCCACTTATGCTCACATAATATTTCCACTTTACAAAAATGCGAAATCCTAGTTGATTGATTCAGCTCTATAAATAAGTAGGGCGAAATGAACTTAGCTATGTCCTTGACCAATATCCTATGATAAAACTATATATATATATATGCCATATGTACCAACATTTGTATTAAATAAGGGAGTAGAAACACGTAGTATACATGCATACCAAACATTAGAATCTCTAAGAAATTTCATATTAAACTTTCTAGACACTTCTGTCTTACATAAACGTCCCTGAATCGCATGTTTTGAAGAAGTGGTTGAAACAAGTATACAATCTTAGATTTCAGTAAAACATTTTAACAACAGCTCAAGTATTTATCTAAGTCTCTCAAAAAATACTCTCATTTGCACTACAATGCCTGAAAACACACAAAAAAAGTGTGTGGCTGGTCAGTAGTCATTAGGGTGTAAAATCGGTATGTTTTAGGGTAAACATTTTCTGTAGCTGACCAATGGGATACTAAGGCCTCAAATCGGTAATATTGGAACAAATGTTGACTTACAGTTTGTACAACAAATATTAAATATGTCACTAATTGTGCTGTGGTCTAAGTTTGCGAAGAACGATATTAACATAATAGAAAACACTGCAATAAAATGACAATTGTAGCTAATGTAAATGATACCGAATCAACTTTTTTCCCATTAAACGTGGGTTGCAATTGATCCTGATTTGCTAGTACTAATTAGCTCAATTAGTTAACAGCCCTGTAGTAAATAAAATGTTTTTCTCACTAACACATCTTACAGAGAGAACAGCGAAAATTATCATGTTTCTTATTAATCTTGTGGCATTTTCAAGTGAAATTGATTTCCTAGGTAGGGATGGTGTATCACTGAATTTAACTAAAACTAACCAAGTTAGAGCAAAGAAATAAATAGACTGGATACACAACGAAAACAATCTTTATTGATCAAAACATAGCCTGGACGCCTTTCACTGGATCGTGAGTTGACTGTCGTTCTTCCTTCGGGATGTATTCTCGCTCACCAATTCACTCAGGATTCAGTACGCGAATATTTATTTCTAACGTAACCGGAGAAGTCTGGTTTACTTGTAGCGACTAGCACTACACATAACCACGTGACTGGTCATTCTAATTCAAACAGGGGAGGCAGTGGCCTCGAGATATTATATAGTCTACCAATGGAGGACATTCAGGGCACTTGCTGTCGAACTTCGTGCAAAACGTGCAGCATTAAGGCTCTAAGCTGTAGCTTTGTTAACTTATGTCTTAATCCGGCACTGATTACAGCTAAACCCGTAATGGACAGAAGAATGTGATCTCAGTGGAAAGACAAGGAATAGATTCAGCTAGAACGACATCAACTTAGCTACAGTCTTGGGAACGTATTATGCAAAAACTGCATCAACTTAGAATACACGAAATTATTTGCAAAATTCAACATTAAAATAAGAAGATGAAAAGTCTTGACATGCTTCCATACCAAAATCGTAAACCAAACACTTAAAACTGGTGATAAGTCTCGAGTAGTATGTAACAGTCGGAAACTTACTGAAAGTACACTAGAACGATAATTGTGGATTAGGTTTCCATTTAGTAACTTTTCCTTTGGGAAGTTATTCAACGTTATTCTAACCAATATTTCATTATTATTTAAACAAACATCGGGTTTTTTTCTCACTTTAAAGCTTAGAAAACGAATGTAGGAACCTATGAAAACATCAGAAAACAATTCTATGCTTTCTGTTACTTGTTACTACAAAATAACAATGTGTTTCGGAGGACAAAGAGTTTCCAAAAAAAAGAATACAAAGAAAATTAAAACTGAAAAGATGAATGCTTCTTCTACGAAAGAAAAAACTGCTGTTATCTTAGACCTTGAATGAAACTCATTCGTTGTTCTGTTTATTAAAACATTTTTTATAGCTCATCTTGTGTACTTTTCCGTTAATGTTTGCTGAAACATTTTGTAAAGGTCATCTTGTATACTTTGTCAATTAATGTTCACTAAAACATCTTGTAAAGGTCATCTTGTGTACTTTGTCTGTTAAAGCTTTTATTCAAATGATTCTGGTTATTGTCTGTGCTGAAATACGAAAGTTTAGAGCGAAACAGCAAACGACCCTTATCAACATAAGTCAACTTTGATAACCAGTTAGGAAGCTGTTTCAGGTGTTTATATTGGTTTTGGATCCATTAGACCAAAGTTTAAATGCTACAACAATCAAAAGTGAAAAAATAGTGCTACTGGATGTGATAATTTATCACCAAGTTTTAGGTCGCGAATTCAGAGTTAAAACTTAAACTACAGAAATGGACAGAGATGAAAATGAGAAAGTCTTTAATCTTCATTATCTAGTTATGATAAACGTATAGATATAAATGAAAAGTGGAAGATAAAAATACAGTTTGTTTTCCCTTTGACTCTATCTCCTGTGACATCTAGAACCATAATAATAAAATTTAAAAATAATAGGAAAATTCTTATATTATCTACAGCAGACACCGATTAATTGAATTAGCAGGTGTTACTAAGATTTTAAAATATTCAGAATTATATTATCCTTCAAAATTCTAGAGGCGTGTTTTGTATTTTTAGTTGTTTAGTTTAGGGCCATGAAAGTACTTTTTAAATTTAGGCGTTCGGGTTTTAATACGAGACATTTAATCGTAGTTTAATTACTGCTTAGCACTTCTTGCTTTGATTATTGTTTCATGACACTATTACCTGTAAAGTATTACTTCATTACACTTGTTACTGTAAACTATTACTGAATTACACGGTTTACTGTAAACTATTACTTCATGACACTTGTTACTGCGAACTATGAGTGTGAAATGCGGGCATATAATATACTTTCTATCTGCTTTAGTTATATCGGAATGTTGATCATTTTTCGTTTATTTAAATTGTGTTCGGGTTCAGCATTAACACGTGGCCTAGAAAATCTTTGAGATTGCCTTGTTCTAGTTACTTCGTTCCTTTGTTCTATAAAATAGATAATATCTATTCAGCCTGAGAGGAAGTTGCAGTTGCATATAACATCGGGGTTGAAAGGATTAACGATTGTGATATCCTTTGCTAGCGGAGCTGTTGTTGTGTTAATTTTACAGCAAATCAATGCTGTTGACTGAACTAAGAAAATGTGTTTACTTATGGAATTCAAATGCACTTTCTTATTTGATTTCTAGATGGATTTCGTTGAGCAAAAGTTTACTTTACAATCGTCAAGCTTAGTTCGATAGAAACCAATCTCGAAAGAAGGAAAGCTATCTAATTATTTCACACACACTAGGAAAACTCCGTGAAGTTATCAGGTACAGATTACTCTACTTATTTCCTGAACAAATCTGCTGTTATTATTTAATGAATGTCACTATTAAATTTCTGAACCTACAGCATGCATACAGTCCTTGATAGATCTCTTGTGTTGGAAGAAATGATTAGAATGGCATATTTTGGACTCAGAAGAACTCACGACCAAGAGGGACTAGCAAGAGACTGTTGTTCTAGTCTAGAAAAATTTGTCTCTTGGACGTAGGACTTTCACCCATGCTGCAAAAGTACATGACATCAATCAGCTTGTAACCTTTGACTTAGGGAGACTTCCTCACGGCTGGAACACCCAGACCGTTCTAGTAGACAACACCCTAAGAATCAATCTCAGAAAAAGGAAATTGCAGACGACAGAGAGTTGTAGGCGTGGAATGGCATCTGGTGAGTTTCAGTCTGTGTAGAAAGATCTCTACCAAACTGTTAAGCTGTTATAGTCAGATCACAGCTCTGGTTCCGACCAACAGCGACTAGTAGACAGAGATTGGACGCGCCAGTCAGAGTTGTCTCCACAGTAGGTGAGACCACAGGCTCCTTGGGGTAAAGACAATGGAGTGAGGTACCTTTCAGGATTGAAAAGCTCCCCACAACATCGATGGCAGCTTGTGTTACTTGGGGTAATGCAAAGCTACCTGATGAGTAACCTTGAGAAGCCCTTTGTTCTTTAGTCCTGGACACTAAGGTGTCAGAGTTCCTCTCAGCGGCTTCCACCCAGAATCAAGAATATCTTGGCATCCGTCGAGATTATGAAAGAGAGAGAGTCTTTGTCCCATCACAAAGGTTCCTGTAAGAGAAGCCAAGAAGACCAAGCTCTCGATGTTCATAAAGATGGCAAGAGGGGACCACCTAGACCAATTACTAGTGTTTTACTGCCTGGAATATTTGGACACAGTAACAGTTTGTGAAGCATCTGGTCCTAAGCTTCGACAGTCTGGTCCTCAATGCTGTTAAATACCTGGTCAAGGAGCAGGAGATTGTCTGGGAAGTAATAGTACACTATCTGTGTCACCGATTCGACTCAGTGGAAAATTAAACAACCTAGGGGCAATTTAAAACAGTAAAACTGTGTATTCTAGAGCTTACTTACATGCTCTTTCTTGTATGCCCTCAGTTTAAAGGAACTTTCTATTCCACATATGCCTCTTTGGTTACAATCTGTATGTATATAATGCAGTAGTGTTTTGCAATGGATAAATGTTAAACATTGTGTACTGATAATATATTATATATCATATTAGTCTTAACATAAAATAATGTTTTTTATGTCTACCATAGACATTACGATGTAATCAAATAAAATTTGAAGTAATTAGTCTGTCAAATATAAACAGGGTTTTCATTAATTTATATGATACACTTACCACTGATCATTTATTTTGTCATATTCTTTAATCCTTCTTTTCCATGCGGGTCGCAAATAACTTAATGGTTAGTGTATTCATGCTGATTGTTTCCTATCCCTCTAGTATATTACTGTGGCCCGGCATGGCCAGGTGGTTAGGGATTCGAATCCCCGTCCCACCAAACGTATTCGCCCTTTCAGCTGTGGGGGCGTTAAAATGTGACGGTCAATCCCACTATTCGTTGGTAAAAGAGTAGCCCAAGAGTTGGCGGTGTGGTGATGACTAGCTGGCTTCCCTCTAGTCTTTCACTTCTGAATTAGGGACGGCTAGCTCAGATAGCCCTCGTGTAGCTTTGTGCGAAACTGAAAACGAACAAACCAAATCTAGTCTATTATTTCAGAATTAGGAATGGTTGTGCCCAAATATCCTGTTGTTTAGCTTTGTGTGAGCATTCTGAAATGAACAAACATTTTCTATGAATGTCGGCTTGGCATGGCCTTGTGGCTAGGGTGCGAGTCGCGGGTTCGAATCCGTGTCACCGAAATGTGTGTGTGGGAGCATTATAATGTGATGGTCATTCCCACTATTCGTTGTTAAAAGAGTAACCCAACAGTTAGTAATGAGTGGTGTTGACTAGCTGCATTCCTTCTAGTCTATCACTGTTAAATTAGGGCCACCTAGCGCAGGTAGTCCTCGAGTAACTTTGCGCGAAATTACAAATAAACCAAACTACGCATGTCGTTCCCTCTCGCGGCGCCCATCAGTAGCTCAGCGATAAGTCTGAAGGTTTATAACGCTAAAACCCGAGTTGCGATACCGGTGATGGACACAGCGCGAATAGCCCATTGTGTTTAACAAGAAGCAGACATTGCAAATGCTCGTAAAGGTAACGTTTTCTGAGCTCAATGGTTTGAGTGGTGTCAGGTTTAACATAGTGAATGTTTATTTCAACCACTTTTAGTTTGGTATAGATCAAGACGTTTATATTGTTGGTGTTGAAAATAAGCTCTTCAGCTCAATTAAAACATTATGTTACTGATTCGTTAAATATACACGGCAATTTATTTATTGTAAGTAGCTTCAAGAAAGTTTCACTACACAGTTTATATTATGTTAGTTAAGATAATTATCTGAAAATAATTGAATTGATAAACAAATTAGTTAAACGCAGCCAACATAACGATATTTACCTAATATATGACAATAAAGAAAGTTTGTGACAATAATTAAACTACGTGAAACCTATTTTTAGTCTAAAAACCTACATTTCTAATGCGGTTTCCTGCAATGAACAGAATTAAACCTGACGTTATTGGTTAGTACAATACATCACTGCCCTCGTGACCTACAAATCTCGAAACGGATGACATGTTGCTTTATAAAGGTTCTAGTTCACGAACTCTTGGTGTTAAAATAACCAGACCGACGAAAATCTAACACATCTCATGGATAAGCTAGTCAGGAGTTTATGGTTTGTGTTGCTTGTGGTAAAGTTGGCACAAAGTAAAAATGCTAACGAACCTAAGAACAAGATGACCTTTCTACCAATAGTGAATATAAGTGACCTCCGGCATTCACCTACCAGAAGCAGAGATTACTACGTGAACCCAAGCCTAATTAACGAAGCTGCTAAGGCAGCCTACCAAAGACTAGCTGCAGAAAACAAAAATCTCTCAAGGATGGCGAAGAGAGGTGAGACGACAATGCTTTTCTTTCAGTTTATTTTAACCAGGTAAATTTTAGCTGTTAGGTTTAACATCAGGGAAGTATGAAAAACTATCTTTGTATCAGTGAAACTTAACACATATCTCTTGTAAACTAAGTCTGATAACACGGTAGATACTTAACACATACCTCCAGTAAACTAGTCCTGAGAACTTTTGGTGGATACTTAACACATACTTATAAAATAGTCTTGAGAACTTCTGGTTAACACACATATATGCTGTACTGAATAAAAGTTTAGAAACAAATTATACTTTTGTACCATATATGTTACGTGATTAAGACATTATTAATGCTGACTATTTTATATGTCCTACCAAGTTACTGAAAAGGAAAGATCAGACATATATATAAACATCTGTAAATAGTTACTGCTAACTGTTTTGTTTCTTACCAAGCTATTGAAAAGGAAAAACTATAGACAGGAAAGATGCACGATTGCTGTAAACATTCACATCATTTTCAGTAATAAATAAAATAAACATCACACAGTAACTTTTGGTTTCGGAAAAACAAAAGTACACCGTACTGTTTTCTATTATAAATAACTTATAGCTAGAATAAACCGTGGGCATCTATTTCTACCAATTTAGTGTCGTCAACTTTGCACATTCATTTGTTACTTGATGGAAATGTATATTTCATTATTAAATTTAGAATGCCACCATGCAGTCACTTTGACCCATCTGGTGTTAATCACTGAAAATTCAGCGCGGGCTTTTGTTTAGTTACCACAAATAATTTACATAAAAGGTACAGGTTATATCATTTGTACTGTCTGACACATCAACTACATCTCCCTGGATTTAAGTGATGTATTGTTAGGTTACATTATTTGTACTGTCTGACACATCAACTACATCTCTCTGGATGTAAGTGATGTAATATTAGGTTACATCACATTATGTGATTTAATTGAGGTATTGTTGTATTACTGTTATTATAAATTGTCGAATTTCTGTTGTTAGCAAGTGTTGCAGTTCTCAAAAAGGAATACCAATGTTGTTTCGAAACATGTTTTATGTTTCCAAAAGTAAAAACCACTTTAGCACAATGTGCTTACATATGCAAATATCAGGTGTTTACTTCTGTCGTTATCAAGTATTGTATTCCTGTCGTTATCAAGTATTGTGCTTCTATTTTTAACAGATGTTGTGTTCCTGTTGTTAACGGGTGTTGTAGTTCTCTTGTGTCTATTATTTTGTGGTGACATCAACATTTTTAATTTCGTTTGTTTTACTTCCACAGATACCTTTACAACAAGCTATACATCACCTGATTGTCCTGCTCTTAAAAGACACTATCAACGTATGATGGCGAACGCTTTAGTTTCTTCGATGGACGAAAAGGCAGCTCTTATGGAATTTACGACTTACGAATTGGCTAAAAGGTTTGTTACTGTATCTTTCAGCTAATAGTATTTCGTTTAATATTCTTCATTGAATGCAAATAATGTAATAGATAACTTAACCACACACGGTAAAAGACTCATGTAGTCAGAATTGTTTTGATACGCCATTATCGTTATTTCATCTGTGTGCTGTTGCCAACTTCATAGCAAACACAACAACATTTGGAAAGATATTAAAAATCCAAACTGCAGCAAAGTCTACAAGAATTGAAAGCATTTTTATTATTAAATTTTATTCGAAGTCTTTCAACAGAAACTGTAAAGCACCAATTACTTAAATCGTAGAATTGTATGATTTGACAGACCTTACCATTTTGTAGTTTGAATCATATACTACACTATGACTTGACAGACTTTATTATTGCAAAATACATTACTAATAAATATTTCTTTAGATGATTTAATCGCCAGTGTTGTACGTTTAAAATATTTGATTTTGATTCTGTATAAAATGTTATTTTTATTATCATATTTAGTTCATATATTTTGAAATATAAATAGATTCAAATGTGGATGTAATGAAATGTCTTAAATAGAGCTATTCCTATTTATTCACGTAATGTTTCATTTCGACAACGTATACAAATATTTGATTAATTGTAAGTTTTCTAAACATGATACTATTACTTCATTAATTTTAAGTTTTTTTTTGGCCGACTCCGTGATCAATGAGACTATTTTGCTGGTTCATTAGTTCTTCTGAATAATGAGCAGATTAATAATACATTAGTAAAATACTCTAAACCTGACTCTGATGTATTGTGACATATATACTATTGTTGAAAAATTACGCTTCACCAACTTTATAATATCTACATTGTTGTACCATAGTTTAGTTAATTGTCGGTAAAGTATAATTTCAATACTAGTCGTGAACCCGCAAAACATTTGGGGTAGTTTTCATGCCTTTCGCTTGAATTTTCCTTATTCTATCGTTTTCACGTACGTCATTTAAGCTACGCTCTCTTGCAAGCATTATGTGTTAGATCGATAAATCTTGGTCTTTTTGAGAAACATTTTACGCGGTCAGACAAACAAACTCACATAGACGTAACTTCATTTAATAAAACAGTATGTACGTAATTTATTTAATAAAACTGTATGTATGCAATTTTATTTAATAAAACTGTATGTACGTAATTTATTTAATAAAACTGTATGTATGCAATTTTATTTAATAAAACTGTATGTACGTAACTTTATATAATAAAGTTACATGTAAACTAAACAATAAAGTAATGGTATTTATAATGATGTACAGAGTATGAAACAGTTATGAGCTTTCAGTGTATGACACTGTTTTACAAGTTGAAATAAAGAAACTCACAAAAATGAAGAATAAAACCTGTAGTAAAGAAAAAAGCAGCTAAAAGGTGTTTATAGCAGTCTATGAAACGAACTGGAGGTAAATTATTACAAAGTAAAGTAAATGTAAAGCTCTAATGAAGGCAAACTTAGCTGATTATGCAGAAACGTCTAAATACGTGCTCACAAGGTGGTAAGCATATGGTTTTGAACGAACTGCTCATGCGTATTTTAGACCTAACGAAGTCAAGAAATCCCATAGAAATTGTATTTAATGTAATGTTCATTTTTATGCAATTACACCGTGTTAAATGCTGTTTGTGTGAAATACTTTTCAAATAAAAAATTAAGGTTGAAATCGAAGCCAGTCGTCACGTAATGACATGGACATTGTATCATCGTGTACCATACTCGTTGCATTGAAAAGTTTGACTAAGTGAAACGGAATAGGTGATTCTCAATTCTGTGTGTGTGGGTTTGTTATAGCAAAACAACATTAGACTATCTGCTGTGTAAAAATTACATTATTGTTAACAGAGAAACGACAATGTAAGTTATTAATGCGGATGTTACAGTTCTTGTCGTTAGCAGATATCGATCATGAAGATGGATATCTTAAAGAGTGCTGATGTGTGAAAACTGGATTTAAAAACCTACGTTCATTTGTTACCCTCTATTTCGGGAAGACAGCTAATCTAATTCTGTTTTATTAAAACAAAACTAATATATTTTTATCCTTATTTTACTAAGGCTGGGTCTAACAAGAAAACAGGCATTCGACTTAGCACATGTCGATCTAAAAGGAACGAATCTCCAGAAAATCGTAGATGAAGCAACAAGACAGAGGGTTGTATTTTGTGAGAGCAACAGCAAGTTTCGTACCATTGATGGAACATGTAACAATTTGATAAAACCTCGGTGGGGGTCTTCTTTTAACTGTTTCAACCGATTTCTTCATCCTAATTATGCAGATGGTAAGCTTAAAAAAGATTAAATATGGTTTTCTGTAACATTTTTTTTTCGAAAGGTTGTTTGTGCTTAGTTTCATTTTCCCATTGTAATTGTTCTCTTCAATGGAATAAAATAAAACGTGCGTTTTCAAGGAATTACACATCCCTAGATATATACATTACTTTTTATGTTATTTTTTCCGTACTTCTACAGATATGTAATTATTTACCTTTTTATGAAAATTATCACTGCACCCGATAGATTCGGTATTGTTTTACAAGGAACACAAAGACTTGACATATCAAAACATGGATGCTTACTATAAAGTATGACAATATTTAGGTTTGTCCAGTCCACGAAGAGCCTTTTCTGGAAACGAACTTCCGAACCCGAGGCTCATCTCTACAACACTCCATAGTGACAGTAGCGTTCTGGCAAGAGATTTCACACATCTAGTTATGCAGTGGGGACAGTTTCTTGACCACGACATTACTCTCACTCCGTTCTCTAGCTTTCCTGGAGAAGACCTAATTCTCGGCAGTAAGTATTCACCTACATATCTTTTGAAACTGCTCTCCCTTATTCTGCTTTTTACCTTTCTTGACAAATGTTGCTATGTAAATAACTGAAAACACGCAAAAATACAGCATACTGTATTTACTGTCAAACTTTCCTCTATTTAGACAGCTTTCTTGACAAATGTTTCATTGTATATAAGTATAAATAAAAATAGAGTGTACCTTATTTATTGCCAGACATTCTCATCTATAAAAAACGTTTTTGACGAGAGCTAGAATTAGAAGTTATGTAACAAAGATATACATGACATCCATTGTTATTAATGTTGTTATTATTTTGCTTGAACTCAATAACATCAATAACTAAATGAAGTCAATGTAACGTAATCTTCATTTGGATTAACAAAAACAGATGTTATTGTTCCTGATACATTAAAGAATTCTTAATATTATAATGTATAAAATACAATATTGAGTCACAGATGTCGCTATTCACATGTTGTGTGTGAATGTTTTGACTTCGCTTCGAGTTGAATGTTCCTTTCTTAAGTTATTTCTTTGAACACGTTTCACTGAAATGTGCTGACTTAAAAAAATGAACTCTACTATGTGAAGATGTGTATATGTTTATTTCACAGATCCAAATAGGCTTTTGGACTGCTGTGCTTTGGAAAACCAACATAACTCGCAGTGTTTCGCTTTCAGTATTCCACAGAAAGATCCTTTCTTTTCTCAATTTCAACAAAGGTGCATGAATTTTCGAAGGTCTGCCCGTTGCTTGCATAGTCAAACAGGTAAGTTTACTTCGCTATGTTGCAAAAAAAAAAATCTAATGCGCTAGTTCATTTCAGAAACTATATGCTATAACAGCAAGACAAGTCTGTTCCGAAGTCGGTCTGACATGGCCTAGTGGTTAGGACGCTCGACTCGAAATCTGCGGTTTGCGGATCGAATCTCCGTTCTCGAACTTGCTCGCCCTTTCAGCTGTGGGAGCATTATAATGTGACAGTCAATCTCATTATTTGTTAGTAAAAGAGTAGCTCCAGAGTTGATGGTGGGTGGTGTTGACTAGCTGCCTTTTCTCTAGTCTATTACTGCTAAATTAGTGCATGTAGATTTTCGCGAAATTCGAAACAAACCAAACTGTTCTAGGGTCGTTACCAAGTTTAGTAACATGGAATGTTTTTAACCCTTCATTTGCAGCACGTGTAAATCTCCCTACCACTCCATGCGCAAAGATTCGCAAATGTTTGCGGTGGGCCATTCAAAGTGTCGCTCGTAAAATACTTGCATCATATGATGTCAACCACAGTTGATGGGTTAATTAAAAGTTTAAAAACCTGTAATCCTACATAAAACGTAGCGTTTTGTATGAAAAACGAATTGAACAAGCCAAGTTGGCATGTATGTAGACAGACTTTTACAAGCCAAACAGATTTAGACAACCTAAGATGGTGCGTACACAAACAGTTTTACAAAGTATAAGATGGTATGAATACAGAGGTTGATTACGTTATAATATCATGATTTTAGACGTCATTCTCTATCTGACGACACAACCATGCATCTTAAAAACAGCCCTGTAGCATAGTTTTTTATAGTAAAGGGCTTTATCGTAAGTTGTAACGTTCAGAACACCCCTCGTCCCTACAGCTTTCCATAATTCATCTATAGTACGAGGAAGACAACAGTTTCTCAGCACCGTTTCAACATAAATCCGTAGTTTCTATCTACGACACCAACACGTCATCACGTGGAACAGTATGAATATCCATTTTATTCTCCAGCTACGATATCCGACAGTTGAAGGACATATTGTGGAAGCAACTTGTATATACGTGTTAACTTGTGTCGCTTTTTCCAACAGAGATCCTTACTGATTATGTTCGTTTTCTGGGACATGTAAACTGCTTTTGCCATGGCCCTTTGTGTTCGTGGCTTCTCACCTGTTACAAAGACGCTGTACTTTGCTCACCTTGACTGGAGTACAACATGACACAGGTCTCTTTCTCAATGGTCTTGGTGCTCCAGTTTGATCTATACTTCTTTATTTTGTAATGCCATAAGTAAACGAATTATCCACGTCATAGAAATTCTAAATCGTCTATTTGAACACATTTTTATAATCTGAGTGTATGAATATTTTGCTTCAATAAGAGCTGTTACATGCCCTTCCCAAAAGCGATCAGTTTTTGATGCCATAACACTATCCACTAAACACCAAACACTGTCGAAATGTAGTTATGATAAACGCCGTTCAAACGCGACTTTATATTGACTATGGTTATCATATGAGTTGCCGATTTCCATATTCAAAAGTAGTTTTAATATAATGTATTCAGCCACAGAATTTTAGGAAATAAGATGGTGTACATAAACAGAATTTCATAAGCTAGGGCTCTTTAAAACTGAACAGATTTCTGTAACCTAAGAAGGTGTATATATAAACAGAATTTCATAAGCTTAGCTTCTGTAAAACTGATCAGACTTCTGTAACCTAAGAAGTTGTATATATAAACAGAATTTCATAAGCTTAGCTTCTGTAAAACTGAACAGATTTCTGTAACCTAAGAAGGTGTATATATATATAAACAAAATTCCAAACCCTAAGCTGTTGTGTACTTATAGAAGATTTCACGAACTAAGATAACGCGTATATATAAACAGATTTCAACAAGACAGGTTTGTTTGTTTAGATAAACAGATTTCTACAAACTAAGTTGGTTTGTATATAAATATATTTCTACAAGCTAAATTGGTTTATATATACACACATTTCTACAGGCTAATAGGCCTGTATGTAAACAAAACTCTATAAGCTAAGTTGATTTTTATATAAACAAATTTCAAGTTACCTTTTGCCAGAACTGTTCAAAATTATGACGATGAAAATAATGTGAATTTTGTGTCTATTACGTGCGATAAGCGTAAGCACTTTGGTAAGCACACACACAATGTTTTGATCGAGCTAGGATTTACACAACTTTGTCTAAAAGAAACATTTAATTAAAAATCGTATAATAAAACAATCGAAACAAGAAAACTTTTGACTTATTTCAAGTTAAATACTAGCAAGTTAATATATTTTGTGATCTGTGTGATAGACGGTATCGTGATACATGGTATAACTTACGATCTAGAGGATATGTATTAGATGAAGTATTCCCGTGAATCCTATATCTGTATAATAATATATTTACACCATTTTTAATTACTGGCTTTCGTGCCAGTAGGTCGCTTGTTTGTCTAACGAACAACATTGTTATATTTCTTTGAGTACATTATGGTCAAAAAGCCAGGGCTAAATTGCGAGAGGGTTTATCTGTATATTGTTTTCTTTCGGTCTTCTAGCCCAACGAGAACAGATCAATCAATTGACATCGTTTGTAGATGGCTCGCAGATTTACGGAAGTTATCTGAATGACAGTCTAGCTCTTAGGACGTTAAAACATGGTAAAAAACAAGATTTATTGAAAATTTTAATTTACTTCGTAATATTATTCAAAATGATCACAAGAGATATCCAAACTTTCGTACACTATTTATTATAGTTTTTTAATACCTGGATATCGTTATGGTCGTTAACATCAATTAAATTTGTGTCAAAGATCTACCTTTATGTTACGTAAAACTATAAATAAAAACTATCAAATACATAAGCATATGTTTTATAACTTAAGTAATAAAATTGAAAGTTGAGTTCAGCGACTTATGAGACAAATATCATAAAATGTATATTTCCAATAGTTTATAAATAGATTAATGAACGGTTTAATTATAGTTAATGTGTTTCTTTCAAATGGCTTATAAGAAGGTTAATGAATTATTTTAATGAAGCTAAGATGTTTCTTTTCAATACTTTATAAGGACGTAAATGACTTCATTATGTATCTCATTAGTTTCTCAGTGTTTTCATTAAATTTCCAAGAAATAAGAGAACTATAAAATATGTAGGAGTGTTGTAAGAATTAAAGCTCTATAAGCACAAATTAAGTTACGAAGAACAAACACAAATTTACAAAATATGAAAGTGATTGCCCCGACTAAGTTTCCACGTACCAGTTTCATGGGTATACCGAGAAAACAACACTCGCTAGATGTCACTGTACACACACACACGCAGTATACTCTTGAAAATGACGCACCTGTTACGTAACTAGTCGGGGTAATCAACTTCATATTTTGTAAATTTGTGTTTGTTCTTCGTTACTTAATTTATGCTTATAAAACTGTTAATCTTTACAACATTTGTAGATAGCTAGATTATGTAGGAGTTTTACTTTAGTTCACGTTCTCTTAAAGGTCTGTTAAGAACTCAGACTGACAATCAAGGTAAAGAACTTCTTCCTGTGACCCCAGATACTGAGAAAGATTTGTGCAGCGATAAAGAGAGCAACAAAATATGTTTCCGGGCAGGTATGGTTCATTTTCAGCCTATAATAATGACAGCTGTATAGTATTACTCACCATCTTAACCACAAACATATCATTACTGACTTTCCCTAGAATAGCTCATGATATCTGTAACCACGTGGATAATCTTACTTTTAATAGACAAGTTGAAAATTAAACAAATCAGCTAAACATTTTTGTATTCACTTGCAACAAAAATATTAATGAAAACCAGTATCAATAAGCAATCAAGCGTGTGAAAAAGAAAACAAATGCTTTGCAACGTGTATCCCCTACAAGATCAACAGGAAAGGATATATAAAATATTTAATGGCTACCAATAATGCTATTTCATTTTGTCCAAAATAATTTATTTTTAGCTTGATTTTTTTTTTTTTCATTTGAATTAAAATACCTCAATTTCAATAGATTATCTGGTAATATCCATAAACACGTGAATAAACAAAATATTATTGAACAAATAATTTCACGTTCGGTAGATAATCTAATGATATCTGTAGACTAACATTATTATCTTGGCAAATGTCACACACCAAAATGTCTGGAATAATATTTCATCAAGTCCATTTTTATGCACTGAATTTGGATCAGAAAATTGTTTTTCCCCATGTGATGTTATTTTGCAGAGAAATCTGGATCTAATGAAGGGAACTTTCACCCGGTTTTAACTACAAAAAGCGAACGATCCTAGTATATTTATTAAGGTCTTTTTATTAGTTAAATTTTCCCGAAATTATATAGCATAAAGGAAATGACCCTAATTTAATACAAATTTATATTTGCGGGAGTTTACGTTTTAAAAAAAAAGACTTAATACAAAGGATAATTTCAATTTTACAAAAATCAATAAATTATTTAGAAATACAGACTTGTTTTCGTCTTCCCTAAAGGTGATGAAAGAGTTAATGAACAACCAGGCCTTACATCCATGCATACAATTTGGCTTCGACAACACAACGCCCTGGCTCGTCAACTTAGACAACTTAATCCTTCTTGGGATGATGAGAGACTCTACCAAGAAGCAAGGTAAGAATAGAGAAGAATACAGATAGACAGATTTACTCCTTGCTTAATCTGTATAGAGGTATGTCTTACTTTTGTGCTCATGGTAAGGACAAGAGACGAATATAGATAGACTCACTTCTCCACTGTCTTAGAAAACACAGACAGCAATAAGTCTCTTCTGCAGTATCTTGGTTTCGTGTTTGAAATTGATACACCACGTTTTCAAGAGTGACATTATATAATAAAGTCTCAGTTAACGTATCAAGCTATAATGAACTATTTAATATGGTAAAGCAAGGATGACAACAGTAAGTTATAATATTTTAAACTTAATAAGAAATAAAAGGACTGTTGTTGAAGTAAACAACATATTACTAAATATATGCTCTTGATTACCTACAAATCTAAAAAACAAACAAATGAAAGGAAGTTATTGTTCATTATTAGCAGGATGCTATTTTCGACGAAAGAGTTTGTTTGAACAAGAATCTCAGGTATATTTGACCAGTGGTCAGCATTTTGAAACCGTCTTAAAATTTCTTCAATTATTTTAGTACTGTTTAGAACTTTTACTTCCAACAGTTTCTCTGTTAATAGTTCTAATGATTTGCTCGAAAAAATATTTACATACCTACTCTTTCTTTAATACCCGGGGTTGTTTTAGATATATTTCTGCCAATAGTATAGATCAGAAACTTGTTGTTAATCGCCTTTTCCATCTTTTTAGCGACAGTATAAATCTTGTTACTGAATTCAGTCGCTAAATGTAAACAGTACACATCTTGTTATTAGCTTCAGTCACTAAGTGTAAACAATACACATCTTGTTATTAGCTTCAGTCACTAAATGTAAACAATACACATCTTGTTATTAGGCTTCAGTCGGTAAATGTAAACAATACACATTTTGTTATTGGCTTTAGTCGCTAAATGTAAACAGTACACATTTTGTTATTGGCTTATGTCGCTAAGTGTAAACAATGCACATCTTGTTATTAGCTTATGTCACTAAGTGTAAACAATACACATCTTGTTATTAGCTTCAGTCACTAAGTGTAAACAATACACATTTTGTTATTGGCTTTAGTCGCAAAATGTAAACAGTACACATTTCGTTATTGGCTACAGTCGCTAAGTGTAAACAATACACATCTTGTTATTAGCTTCAGTCACTAAGTGTAAACAATACACATTTTGTTATTGGCTTTAGTCGCAAAATGTAAACAGTACACATTTTGTTATTGGCTTCAGTCGCTAAATGTAAACAATACACATTTTGTTATTGGATTCAGTCGCTAAATGTAAACAGTACACATTTTGTTATTGGCTTTAGTCGCTAAGTGTAAACAATACACATCTTGTTATTGGCTTCAGTCGGTAAGTGTAAACAATACACATTTTGTTATTGGCTTCAGTCACTAAGTGTAAACAATGCACATCTTGTTATTGGCTTCAGTCACTAAGCGTATAAACAGTACACATTTTGTTATTGGCTTCAGTCGCTAAGTGTAAACAGTACACATCTTGTTATTAGCTTCGGTCACTAAGTGTAAACAATGCACATCTTGTTATTGGCTTCAGTCGGTAAGTGTAAACAATACACATTTTGTTATTGGCTTCGGTCACTAAGTGTAAACAATACACATCTTGTTATTGGCTTCAGTCGGTAAGTGTAAACAATACACAACTTGTTATTGGCTTCAGTCGCTAAATGTAAACAATACACATTTTGTTATTGGCTTTAGTCGCTAAATGTAAACAGTACACATTTTGTTATTGGCTTTAGTCGCTAAATGTAAACAGTACACATTTTGTTATTGGCTTTAGTCGCTAAGTGTAAACAATACACATTTTGTTATTGGCTTTAGTCGCTAAATGTAAACAATACACGTTTTGTTATTGGCTTCAGTCGCTAAGTGTAAACAATACACATCTTGTTATTGGCTTCAGTCGCTAAGTGTAAACAATACACATCTTGTTATTGGCTTCAGTCGCTAAATGTAAACAATACACATTTTGTTATTGGCTTTAGTCGCTAAATGTAAACAATACACGTTTTATTATTGGCTTCAGTCGCTAAGTGTAAACAATACACATCTTGTTATTGGCTTCAATCGCTAAGTGTAAACAATACACATCTTGTTACTTCGGTGTGTTTAAGAGTAATTTAAAATCACTATCTTCTTTAAACAAAAACTAAAAATGTTTTTGTTTTAAACCTAGTGAGATCAGTAAAAGTTTTTGTTTTTTCGTTTATTGATCTGACATTAGCTTACACACATTTTCGTAACCTGAAAATCTCAAACAAGACAGATTGTAATTTTTCGTGGTAAACTAAGATTCAAAACGTGGACCCATTGTCTAGTTATTCTCTTTAAATCTTGGGAGGCGTGATGTTAAGTAAAACATTTTTTTTTCTTCTTTCAGGCGGATTCTTGTGGCCCAGCTTCAAATGATAACGTACAACGAATTCCTGCTTGTGGTTCTTGGCCCTCTTTACCATCGCTTCTTTCGTCTGAAACCACTCCGGTTTACCTACACTCGATATAACCCAAACAATAACCCAACTGTCATGAACGCATTTGCTACAGCAGCCTATCGTTTCGGTCACACTCTAATCCAAAATCGTTTCAATCAGGTGAATTCTAAGGGCATTACGAGCAAAATGGTGCTTGAAAATAATTTCTTCTTCCCTTTTGGATTGTACGAAGGTGAGTTAGACTCAACCCTGAAGGGTTTAATGACCCAAAATGCACAAGCATTCGATACGTTTATTTCCAAGGGGATCACAAATCACCTGTATAGGCTGCGAGACGAGAAGTTCGGATTGGATTTGATAGCCTTCAATATTCAGCGCGGACGGGATCATGGACTTCGGAGTTATACGGATTATGTACGGTTTTGCTTCGGATTATCTATGACTCGATTTAGTCAACTTCTCTGGTTTATGCCAAGTAGTGCAAGAGATAAATTTCAAAAACTCTACGAGTGAGTCAATTGGTTATTGCTTTTTACATCATAATAGTTACTGTATTGTTGCGTGTATGAGAAACAGCCATATTTATTTACGATAGGCCTTACTTTGTTGGGATACGTTATCTCCAAGAAGGTTAAAGTTTATTATTCTATCGTTTTATAAACTCAAAATTGAAGATTTCCCAGTTCATAGTTGTTTTACAAATATTATTCTTATTTTAAAAACTGTCATTTTTATAACTTCGTTAAAAGATTATGATAATTTAGTAAGTAATAAGTAAGTTAACCCTTTTCCTTCCTGCAAGGCACATAACACTGGTGCCGATATCCAGTTTCCTGTGACGTAAGCGGACGATGCCAGCTACCTATTACATTTGAGTGCAATGTACAGAGCAAGTAATAGACTGCACGTAAACAAAACTATGCTCATTAATATAACTGTAGCAAATTAAGAAGTGTAATTTTATATCTTAATCAATAATGCTATTCAAAGAAACCTCTTAATTCAATTAATGTATCCTTAATTTTATTTTGCCCTAGAAATGTTCAAGATATTGACTTATTTTCTGCTGGGATAAACGAGCGCCCTCTACCAGGAAGTGTGGTAGGTCCGACATTTGGTTGCATTATTGGTTTTCAATTTGCTTTGCTCAAGAAAGGAGATCGGTTTTACTTCGAGCACAAGGGGCAAGCTGGATCATTTACACGAGGTAATTTATTTCTACGGTTTCAAAGGTAGTTAATTTAAGTACAGCTTCTACAAATTCCACATAACCAAATTTGCTAACAATGCCTCAGATAAAATTAGATTCTACTAACTTGGTAATTTTCTCATATGTACGATGCTTCTCATGTGTCTAGTTCTTCTTTGAACACACACACACACTCAAAATATACAGCTCTTTACTAACACAATAAGCAATCAACAATTTGCACTTGTTTTGCCTAACTTGCATTTTATATTGTTAAAACTTAAAATCGTATCCATTTTCATTACGTGACATTAAAGAAAAACTACAACAATGGTTTTAACCATTGTTTAAAATTACATAAGCACATAGTTGTGTAAAATTAAATTTAAAAAATTATAATTCATAATATTACATTTTTGTGACGCGGAATCAAAAAGTACTTGTTATAACATTAATGATATGCATAAACGAATGCGAATTTTGGTATCTTTGAGAGTTTTAATGGTCGAGTAATGAAGCACGTTATACTAATATGATAAGTTGACAAACAACGATTTATAAGCATAAGGAAGAGTTTTATTGTTGGTGGAACATACTGCATGTTTCAACAGAACATTGTCTGTCTTCTACAGGTATACTACTTAACATAAATCGTTGTTTGCCTACCTATTAACAGTTTTGATGGCATGAACTCAATCAAGTCACTGGAATCAAAAATAAAAAAGTAGAATTTTTCAGACAGATATGTGTGAGAAAGAAGGCAACTGTCAAGTTTGTTGGTTAAGTTACTGTAAATTAAAACTTGGCATTGTTACAATTTCTTATAGCCCAGCTGAGAGAAATACGGAAAACAAGTTTGGCTAGAATCCTTTGTGACAACAGCGATGGATTCAGAAGTGTCATGCGTCTTCCTTTTCGAACAGTCAGTTTCATGGGGTAAGTGTATATGTTTATTTAGTGGTCTTTAACTACATATTATTTTAAATATTTTATTTAGAAAACATCCTTCCATAAAAGCAATATTGCGCTTGTCTCTAATCAACACATGCTTAATGAAAAATTATTGCTTAGCTGAAAAACCATAGTTTTTATCTCTCAATTTGAAATTCTGTCATTGTTACCTACAATGCACAATACCTTTTTATAATTGTATATAACTAAATATTTTTGAAAATTAATTTGCTTTTAGCAACCGAGTTGTTCAGTGCCGAGATCTTCCGCAACTAAACTTAGAGCCTTGGCGGTAAGTTGATTATTTGTATTTTCAACATTTTACAGAAACAAATTTTCCACATTTTTTGTAAAATATTTCCATATATGCCCTAAATTTTGAGAGCTGAAAGGAACAAGCCTAAATTTAAGATCGTGCTTAAACTTTGTGGCATTTAAAAGTACAGCTTTAATTTGCCGAGCATCAATTATCTTTGGATCAAACTTTGAAACGGGTGTAAAAATCTACTAGCTCGATATCCAGGACCACTAAAGTTTGAGGTCGGGCTACTGTGCTTACTAGTCCAAAGCTAGTGAGGTTCTCTTTGCATGAAATGTATGCATATCAGTGGTGTAACCAGGTACGAAATTTTGGGTGGCCTGGAGTTACCGTGGACGGGCAAGAGGTGTACTAACCCTTGAAAAAAGTTATAGAAAGCTAAAAAAACACTATGTATGATGTAAAAGGACGTGGAAACCATCATACAAACTTTGATTGGGTGGGCCGTGGCCCACCTGTGACTACACCACTGATGCATATGTGCAAAATCCAACTACCTGTTCAGACCCATACGCAGAATGTTTAGAAAGGGGGTTCTAATTTGTGAGATCAAAATCTAACACATTTTTCGAAGCACAATCAAAAAAATTTTTTAAAAAATAGTTCTTATGAGATTAGATCTGGAAGCAATTTTGCAATTAATATAGCTCAAACATTTGTATGGCTTTTCACATAAAATACACAAACATCTAATGAAAAGTCAACAAACCATCATTCTGTTGTAACACTAGACTTAAAGTAGCATAAATATTGTACTATCTACATGCAGACTAGTTATTAATTGTTACTAGTTTAAACAACTCTGTAAACAATAGTATATTAGCTATTTCAATCATATACGTACAAGTGTATGCACCATTGAATCAGCATGCTCCTTTCTTCTGGGGTGCTTTTCCATAAATAACGTTCAGTTTCAATGTCGATAGCAGTGTCATAATGATTATGTATAAAAGCTAGAGTACTCGGTCTTTCTTTGGTTTGTGTACACCTCAGGTAATTATTCAACTAGCAGAGAGCAGATTCCGAAGAAGTGGCAGTATTTTTTTACATCACCAAAATAGGGGTTTCGGGCGTCCACCCCCCACACACGCGTGCTATTTAATTAGTAAAATATGTTGTCTGTTTTTGTTTTTTAAATCGTTCAGTATATACAATTTTTATAAGATTGATAGCCTGTTTTTCAACAACATGCATAATCCATTGTAAGTCTTACTCAATTCGTGACTTATAAATGTCTAATAATTTAGTTTTGTATTAATAGCACTTTCTAGTCCACACAGTTAGATTTCGTTAGGACTAGCACAGTTGTTTTTAAAGACCGAGTTTTATTGATACTATATGAAACATCTATGTTTAGACGAACCACGGTAAAATTGAAAAAAGCAAGGAGTTCCGAATGTCGGGCCGCCAGGTGGCCTGATTAACTTGCAAAGATTTTACGTCACATGTATAGTAAATTGTATTATTTGTAGCTTTCTAATACTGTGGAAGTCATTGCAATGAATACAGATATGTGTATATTCACTATATGTAATAATTAATTCACTACATTAATAAATAAAAATGGCTAGTAAATTTCAGCTCGGGTTACTTCATTTCTTAGTACACTGTAGCATTACCCCACACACTTAACAGTTAAGGTACTCAGTAGAAACAGAAAAAGATAAACTTCCATTCGTAAACGTGATGGTCACCAAGGTGCATAATTCGTACACCACCCTAACAGTGTTAAGATGAGTATTATAAACTGCTGTGCCCAAGATCTGTAATACTGAAGATACCAAGAAGAAAGAAAAACACATCTCTATAACCCTTTTTCTACATCCACTTAACTGGTAAAATACTTAGCCACTTTATAACAGAAATCTGCAAAAGCTGGATACCCCTTTTGAAGCCATTCAAGTCCTAATGGAAGAGATCCCCATTTCAGTAGATATTGCACAAGCCTATCAAAGAGACCCTTGACTGAATATAGGCCATCATCACCACAAAACGTGGTCCTGAAGAGGGAGCAGGTTAGCAGCCAAAATTTGGGATACAGATTAGTCAACATGATAAAAAAAACTAATTAATAATTAGGCTTAGGTGATCATATAGGCTGTTAACCATGGCAACAATCAATCTTTTATATAACCTTCTATTAACTACAGCCCGATATTATCTTTTTTTTCAGTTTAAAATAAATAAAATTTTGCATTTATGATGGCTACTTAAAGTGGACTTGTATGCTTTTATATAACTTAAGTAGGTTATGAGTTACTTCTTGTGAGCTTACATCTTCATATGACAGCTTAGGAAAGTTGTTATCAGTACTTAATGTTTGTTTTATCAATGCTTATAATAATGTTTTGGCCCAACACAGTTTCTTATCACTCAAAATTTGTCATTTCAGTTCATGACATTCAAGAATTGTCAGGAAAGTGAGAAATCAATGATTCTTGGTACTGACTTTATCAACATTATGCTGCTCTTCCCATGTGTAGCATTACTGGTAACAGAAACTTTGCTGATGGGAGTTTTCACCTTAGGTTTTTAATTTAATTTAAAGAAATTATTTTCTGAGATAAAAGAAATTGTACTGTTGATTTTAAGTATGAATGAAATGAATAAAGGTTTATGTGGTTATAATTTTCATACTTCTGAAATGCACCAACATGAAATATATGATGAAACCAGTTAGTTACATAACAAGTCTACATGTGATAGGGTATTAGTTTAGTCAACTTTTGACCATTGTGCAAATATAGTTTTAAATTCACAAGTGAGGTCTTGAAGTGGCCTTCACAATTGTTTCAGACCCAAAACCGAGGTTCCGACTAAAATCATTTCAAATGGAAACAGTTTCATATCTAAAATTGATCAAACTTGGGAAATCTCTTTCTTACGTACCTCATCTCAGTTCTTCACTGGGACAACATAGGTTTACCCTTCTTTGAGGAATTTACCTTAGTTTGAAGTAACTGAATTCATCTTTTCTTTGGTCCTCAACTAAACTATTATCCAATGGGAAGCCAACATATGCTTTCATGTTCTGCCAGCACCTTCCGACTTCATATCTGTGGTTCTGAATGCAACATTAACAATGTTTAATATTCTAACAAAGATGATAAGCCCTGAGTAAAAATATTCATTTTGTACTTAAGAATGATAATTACTCATAATATATTAAAACTGTGGAATTTAATGTCATAAGAATATATGAATAAGCACCTGAATTATAGTACCATTTATCATTTAAAAACTTTGACAAAAATATAGGGATTTATGTGGAAAAAATAGCTAATTTAGGTCAGTATATAGAGCTATAGGGAAAAACCTAAAAAATATATGAATTATAGGCAATACAGGGTTGACTGTTTAAAAAAAAACACAACTGCCAATTTGCACAACAAACTGAAAGGTTTTTATTCAATTTTCATCTCTATAAAATTATACTTTTTCTTGAGGTAATTTTACAGTTTTGAATATAAAACAGATGGCTGAATCCTGTTAATAACTTATATTCTTTGTTATGGTGTACCAGTATTTTCATCTGTTTAGAAATTTCGAATCATTTTTGCTGTAAAAAAACTGGTTTGATATTTTTAAGAAGGATAGCACAAGATTTTTGCAACCATAATAACCTGAAAAGTAATCCAAATCCTTTAAAACTGGATTGTTCTGCATAGATAATTTTTGTGAGGACAAAAACAACAACAATCTGATATTACTACAAAGGAGACATAAAATACACAACCATTCTAGTTTTGGTTATTAGTTAAATAAAATATTGAAGTATATTGTATTTATTCTGATACACTACAAGTTTTATTAACAAAATCAACAATAAAAGTTAATACAATAGGGAACTATTTTTAAACTGAATGAATTTATCTAGAAATAAAACAGCCAGAATATTACATTATTTCTATTTTTCATTATATATATAAGGGCAAAAACTGTTTGTGTGTGTCTGACATATGTATATATATTATAAAGGGCAAGCAAATGGAACTGTTTAACCATAATTTTTACTAAATCTATTGACAAATACCAACCTGTTGAATGCCGCATATATCAAACAAGATATTCTGTAACTACTGTTGTCATAGAACAAAATCTGTTGAAACTTGGTTCCTGAATGCCTAGACTTACACTAAGTTAATTTGCTCTATATTTATAAGATGTTTTATAAATGTAACAAAGTCTAGGCATTCAGGAACCAAGTTATGTTTACAAATAAGACTCGGTTTGTATAGGTAAGGACAGATCTACATGTTTTTCTGTTAAAACTTTCAATATTAAATGAATAATATATTATTGTGCTATAAATAGTAAGATACTTATTTATATGGTCCAACATTTTTCAGCCAATAACTCTTGATGTAGGTATTTCTATTGTTTTTATTTTCAAAGGAGATAAATTAGTACATGAGACAAAAGTTCACATAAAAGTTTTACTTTGTTTAAAAAAGTTTAATTGGTGTTCAACAAATATACTTTAGCTTCTTAACAATTTCTATATTTTTATCTAAAAAAAAAACATCATATAACAGAGCTTAGCTAATGTAGAATTCTTTACTTAGATACTGTAAAAAAGTCAGAGTTACAGGTCAATTTATAAACACTGATAAAATTTATTATCTTTTTCACATAGTATTACTTTAGTTTTCACGTGGCGGTTTCTCCTGTAACTAAGTTACCATGGGCATATTATATTAATCTACAGCAAGATATTTTATGATTACATAAAACATCTTAAAGAAAAGTGGAGTATATTACATAGTTTATTTTACAATTATAAGTTGCTTATTTACTCATGTCAAAATGTTGCAATTTATATACAAAGTTTTGGCTGCCTTTGCATCATTTAAAAGGCCTTGTTTAAAGTCACAATTACAGAGTATAATGTAAATAAAATAACAGTAGAATATAAATATATAAACACACACACAAATGGGCATTATAACGTAACCAAACTGACATTATAATTAAACAAAAGAACATGAAAAGGGAAAATAGAAATTAACATTTTTCTTACACTGAAAAGGTATTTCTGATAGGTACTTACCTTCTCTCACACAAAGCAATCTTTATTTTCTTTCTGTACTCTAAGCATTACTAAAAGCTTTTCGTGCTCAGTGCACCAGTCAATATATCCCCCTCCATTTTGTGCCATTTTTTAAAATGTACATATCATGTGACTACCCTCCACCAATAGTATTGTGCCACCTACAATGGCGCAGCTACCTCTGCTATTCCAGCTCTAAAAGAATAATACTGGCAGTGGGGAGGGAAGGTAAGTACCTATCAGAAATTTATTTTCAGTGTAAGAAAAACGTTAACTTCTGCTATGGTCTTACCTCTACTCATACAAAGCTAGAATCACACATTGCAAAGGTGGAAGAGCCAGTGTAGGCACTCAACATTGAAACCAAGTAGAAAGCAACCACCCAGAATGAATTTGTGTGCTCTGATATGAAACTGAAGCACACGTGGAGTACCACACTACATCTGGAACAGGTATGCTATTCACCTTTGAAGGAGGAAATTAATCTGATACAGGTAGAAAAAAAGGATGTGCACAAGTGCAATACATAGTAAAATATAAACTGAATGAACAACGTAGACACACAACCTCAAATGGAAAGAAGAGGTTCCATAACTAGTCCTTGGCATTAGCAGGAGCAAAAGAGATAAAATCAAATACAGTGTAACATAAACGTAGTGGCTATGGCATGTGGACCATGTTACATATACTCACAAACCCCAACTGGAATTACGAAGAGGAAGTGAGAATTCAGCCAAACTCTCAAAACCATTGTAGGAGCAAGAGGTAAAACAAACCATGAGAAGAAGCAGGAGGGTGAGATAAATGTGTGTGGTCAGAGAAGACAAGTAAGAATGCAATCTAACCACATCAATCCTGGATTCCAAGGAATTAGGATGACCTCCAAATATGGTATTGTATAGGAAGTGGGCCTGATGCAGATCTCACAGGGATGAACGGGGAAGATACACCCCTGCAAGTAATGCATCCCTCCCCAACAAGTGACAGGTATTAAGGGAAAGGGCAGAGGCCGATAAATGAGCCATAGTAGACCAAAGAAGGGCCCCGAGTTCATCTGAAAAAAGTCAGGGGAGTGGTCAAAAAGCCTCAGACGATAAATGGAGGGAAGACTAGTAACATAAAAGGGATGAGAGGAAAAGGCAAATCCTTGAAAATTGAGCCTAATTAAAATGAACTGAAGCCCCAGGATTCAAACCCCAAAGGGGAAGTAGAGAATCCAAATATGCATCTGAAGGAGAAGGAGCATACCAATACTCGACTGAAGTTGGTCAGAAAATCTCTGAACATGATCTCATGAACAAAATTCAGAAGATGGAACACGACCCAATATGGAAGGGGAGGCATCATAGGTGATAGGGAATGTGTAAAATATCACATACATGATTAACAAGTTGAAAAAAGGGGTGGAAAGTGAAATATCCTGAAGAAGTGTAGATTGTGTCTGACCAAAATAAGGTGCTGGAAAAAGAGAGTCCCAACTGTCGTCATCTTGATGGTATTTTTCATGGTCAGGTTGAAAAGGGGTAGAGATCGCTGCCCAAATATATGACTAGCTCCCTGCGATTTAAGGCCTGCACTTACTCTGCAGATAAATTCAAACCTGAGTCCTGGGAAGTCGTACTATATGCATTGTCAACTGTCATGGGAATTTCTGTTTCAGAGACATGGAACCTTGAATTCATACTAAGTTTACTTAGAATTCGGGAACAAGAAACAATTGAAATCAAATATAGAAAAACAAAACTGTGGTTAACCACAAAGCACAATCAAACTGTAGTCACCCGTGAAAAAACACAGATCTGAATGATGTAGTGCCAATCGAGAAAGTGAGGATTGAGCAGTAATATTAGAAGGAACTAGCTGCACCAATATGGTGATACAATACTATTGGTGTAGAGTAGTCACATGTTATGTACATGTTAAAAATAGCATGGAATTGATGAGGTATATAGACTGGTGCTCTAAGCACAAAATGTTTTTAGCAATGCTTATAGGGCAGAAAAAAGATCGAGGTGAGACCATATCGAAAGAATAGTACAATATACATGAAAAGGGAAAGTAGAATGTCAGCAGACAGTACAGTTAAACAATAGTACATTGTGAACACATGTGAAATGTAATATAAACAAATGGATAGTACATAAAAAGTACACAATAAATGTAAAAAAAAAGTATAATATAAACATATGCATCATAATACAATGAGACAGAACAATAACTTACAGATACCTGCTTTTGTTTCAAACTCTATTATTTGTTCTCCATGTATTGAAATATTATCAATATCTCCAAGGCTTTAACACTCCACATCTAAAGCCTTGGAGTTAACTATTAATGCATACTCCACAATGAAACCCTTGATACTAGAATAAAATTTATGGTCCATTTCTAAAGCCTTGGTAATGCCTTACTGGCTATCTTGGCACACATGTATCCTGAAATTTAGTTTATTTCAAGATCTGGAAAGTACTTAGAATCTTTAAAATCAAATATCCTGTATTTATCAATACTTTTCAAATGGTATTAAAGAAATGGATGTAGAATGACAGCTCAAAGTATTTCAAGACTTGATCACGTAAATGAAATTATTGTATTTTCATTTTCTTTTCTTCTGCCGGGTCTTTCTACGCCGATCAACCTTCTTTTTGATCTTATGATGGTCTGAACTAGATCCTTGTCTTTTCTTTATTAAAGACTGTTGTTCAATGAGATCTGCCAAGTTACCTTTCTCAGCAAGCATCGACAAGAAAGTGCAAATAAACTGGTCATAGTTGTGAGTCCTCGACAGTCCGTCCACTACAAGTCAACAAAAACAGTCGTGGGAGGCAAGGCACACAAGGGG